AGCAATATTTAACAATGTGCAGCTAATGGTTGACCATTATAGTAAAAATTTATCACAGATTTTGTTTAAAGCAACAAATTTCATAATCAACATGAAATTAATGGATTAAAAGCAATTTTATATGAGCTTCGACATTTTAAAAATTTTCCCTGTCAAATTAATTAATTTTTATAAATTTTCATAATTTTTCTTTTTGTTTTGTACATTTTTCATCACAAATATTATTTTAACGCTTAATTCGTTAACTTTAACTTTAAAATATTTAGAGTAAAAAGTAGTTTTGATAATAAAATCTTTCAAATTTAATTTAAAACATTATTTCTTTGTTTTTTTCTGTTTTTTGCGCTTTATTGTTGTCCTTCATGGCACTACAACGCTAAGTAATTTGATTTTATATGTATTGTAGAAATTTTTGACAATAGATCGAAATTCACTTTAATTAAATTTTTATTTTAAGTGCTTAGTGCTAATTATTTGTGGTTAAATCCGTTTCACAGGTTGTTAGTTACTATTTTTGCCAAGGGAACATTTGGTGATAGGTAAACTACTAAAATTACAACAAAAGATTTATTATTTAATATTATATTATTTATTATATAATAAAAATGCAAATAATTTTAGTAGTTTTTACAAATATATCAAATAGATTAATAAAATAATAGAGATGGAAATAGAGCAATTTTTTTGTAAAAGTTTTTTTAGTTTTTTAAAACTAAAGTTTATTAATAAAACGACAATAGATGCGAATATCAAAATTACTAAAAAAAATTCCTAATTGGTACTAAAAAAAATTGTGAAGATTTTATGAATTGTTTTTTCTCGTTGCACAATTCATAAAAGAATATTATTCCATTTCGCTCTATCAAAAGGATTGTGAAAAAACTAATGAATTAATTATATTGTAGAAAAATATTTATTTGTGAAATAAAGTGAAAGAAAGAACAAGAAAGAATAACCGTTGAATTCTCGAAAAATTTTTTCCAATATCTCAGTCAAGAATGATTGATCTTCAACGAAATATTGATCTCGGCTTTCAGTGCATCCTTACAACTTAACTTTGTTACTTCACAATTATTTTTATTTTTATCATTTATCTATCATATTATGAGTTTTCTGTTTGTTTTTCTTTCATACATATTTGTACATTTAATTAGCAAATAAGCAAGCAAAGCCATTTGTATACTTGCAAATTAGAAATAAAAATAACAAAATACACAAAACTATGTTCTGTATTTTTATTTAAAATACTCTATTTAAACTAATAATACTAATAATACTTGCGGAATTTTATCAATTGTGCAAACATAATGCAAGAAATTTGCTACCAGAAGGTTTAATTAAAAATGATAAACGAGATGGTTTTACGACTGAACTGAAAATGTTAAAATTGATATGTCGAAAATGATTTTTTATTCAACATTTCTAGCAAATTATAAATTCAAAATGACCAGATACAAGTACTCTATTAAATTGCTTAAATTCGCTTTTACATCCGCTTTCAACGATTCTATTGAATTATTTAGCTTATCTGAACCATTGATTATATTCATTAAACTGCATAGAAATCATTGGTTAAACGAATTGATTTGCTCGTATCAAGGAATACTTTTTATTTCAATAATTTCCATTTAATACTCGGTCATTGTTCATTTATGATTGTAAATGTGAGCCTTTACTTTCTCAAATGTGTTTTAGAAATCTTTAAAAAAAATTCATGAAGTTATATAAATCTTGTTCAAACATTATTGAACATTATCTATAAAGAAATAAGGAAACTATATGAAAAAACTGAAAATACTTGCTGGTTCAACGATTTAATTTTTCACTCCTCTCAAAATTTTAACGGATTAATTTTCCAAATTCTATGATTTCGACTAACTATATTATTTTTTTGCAATATTGAAAAGGTTATTTATTTTTAAATTTAATCCACAGGATTAATGAATTACTGAATCAGATTATTAATTAGTTAATTGACTGGGATAGTCCATTTGTATAGTTACTTACCTTACCGTGATACTTACCTTTTAAGCATCATAGGTCATACTCTGCGTTCCAGATGGAAAAAATAAATCTGTCACTAAATCTGGGTAGTGTCGATTTTTTAGGTGCAGTAATTATACGTTAAATTAGCTAGTAAACAGCGAAGCTAGACATTATAGCTATATAACTTCTGGTTATTTTTTGTTTTTGCCCATCCCTTTTGTTTTTAGGTAATTGCCATTGCGATATGCTCAATATCTTCCAACTCTATGTATTTTTTAATATTGAGTATGTACGTATTCAGCACGAATAATTTCTAAACAAAAATTTCAAAAAGTCCAGTGGAATTGCAAAAAAACTTCTTTTCTTGGAGGTATTTTTAGTGATCAAAGGTATTACAAATTTTTATATTTAATGTTTATTATGTTTTTATATTTAATGTTTAATGTTTAATAAAATTTCGATTTATAATGTCGATGTTTTTAATTTTTAATTTCAAAACTCTTTTTTGAGGAAACTAATATATTTCGTTATTTTCCTATAATTTTCTGTTTTTTTGCGCCATTTTTCGATTAAATTACGTAAATTCGATGAAAAAAGAAATTATTTCACATCAAATCATTAAACGATTCTAATTAATATTTGGTCATATACTTCTTCTTTGGAGACAAATGTTCCGATTCGTCCGATATTCTAATTCATATCTCTCAAAACGCTGTTTTGTATATGATAAACTTGATATGATATTTTAAAATCTTTTTTTCATTTCGGTTTTTGCAAGTTCTAAATTTATTATTAGTCGATGTTCAAATTTCTGTTTTTCTGCACTGCTTTGCTCTAAAATAATTTTAAAAAAAAAAGAAATAAAATAATAAAATAAATTTTAAAATAAATTTTAATTTTCAACTGAATTTCATCTTGCATTATAATAGAATTTAATGTCGCTTATTTAATTTTTCTTCGGAGATTCTCAAATTTTATTTATTCGATGAAAAATTTGTCCCCCTCAGTTATTTGTCATTCAACTATGTCATTAAACTATGCAAGTTAGTAAGACTTGCGAGGATATGAATTTACCCATAAAATAGTTATTTCGGAGAAATTTGGTAAGACTTAAAACTCCATATGCGTATGTGGGAAAGGAATGGAGTATATACAAATAAGTACAAATATTTTTGTTCAGAGCGAAGGATTGCTAAAAAATAACCAAGAATTGATCCTGCCATCGTAAACTAAGAAAAAGTCAAAAGAAAAGCTCTGAGAAATTTTATCACAAATTACGAGAAAAATTGTAAAAAAACGTACTTTTAGTCCAATTTTGGTAAAAATTTTTAATCTACAGAATTTCAGCTTCTAATAATTTTTTTCAAAACAAAAATCAAGATTTTATTTGAAATTCTCAAATTGAAACTTGAAATTTTAATCGAATTTATTTTTAATAATTGAGCAGTCAAAGTGAGGATTATTTATTAAAAACGATTAATTATGATAATTGCAATTAAGATTTTAAGCAGAAATTCCGAAAAATATCGTTTAAAAATTATAATTTTTTTTTCAATAATCTCGATTAAGAGACAGGATAGTCAAGTGGATAGTGGTGCCGACCATTGTGCTGAGAGGCAATGATTTCTAACTCCTGTAAGAATGGAATAGTTATCGAAAAATTATAGTGCGGCTGGCGATTTATCTTTATTTCTATAGCCAAATGACTCCTTGCAAAAATTCTAACCATATGAAGTAAATAAATAACAGCTAGCGAACCAATCCTAATCAGAAATGATGAGTGCTTATCTGTTATTTATTTATTTAATCCCGATTGAATCTTTTATATGTGCTATTACAATAGGCTGAAACGAGGTTTTAGTTTTTCTTTATTTATTCGATGCTTATCTAGTTTTATTCTTCATTAAATAAATGCGTTACGATGTAGCAAAGTTATTATCTTATAAATACTTATAATATTTTTCTTATCGTCGTCAATGAAAATGTTATTTATAATAAAATATAATATTATATTATTTTATTCAAATTTTCGATCAAATTTGATTTTATGTCAAATATTTCCTACTTTTTTCACGTCATTTCTATCGCTGTTGAATAAATATTTTTAGGGCAAAATTGTTTTCAACTTCATAATAATGGAGTGGTTTTGTCAGTTAATATTTTTATTAATAGTAATAGTAATTTGTACTAAGCAACAACAAAGGATTGTTGAAGGACCAAGTGACACGGTCGTTAAACTTGGCCAAACAGCCTTATTAAAATGTCAAGTTGAATCACAGGTTCATTTTCTTTTGTAATATTTATAAATTATTTTCTTTTTCAAAAAGTATTCACCATTTCTGGATTGGTTGGCTCCACGAACTGCCAGATGAGGGTCATCTAAAAATAGAAGTACAGGTGGATCCTCGAATTTCACTTTTCAAGGCAATTTTATTCGCGACTGGTATCGAGCCCATGTTGCTCAGCACCCAGAATATATCACTATATCACTCGTTTCGCATTCAGTTTATATTTATAAAGGACATAATTTTTAAAAAACTGCAATTTATAATTTATATTGATTTTTATTCCTTTAATACTAGTACCAAGTGCTCATTCATCTTCGTTCAAATACCACTTGCATTAATAATGTTATCACAGAGCATCGCCTTCGCTGGTTAGGGTATTTTCTCCGTCCACCGCAAGAGTTGTCGCATATTTCGTTACTTGCTAAACCATGTGATGGATGGCTTTAAAAGCGAGGTGGGCCAATCAAGACCTGGACTGATACAGTCAGGAAAGATTTTGAACGTATAGATGGACCAGCAATATATGGACTTAAACGATGGAAAAAGGAATGACTTCTATTACTGTCGACGATGGCATCTGACCGCACCGCTTGGAAGCGTCTTACCATTGTAGCCGTTAGAGCCAGCCTAACCAGTAATGGTGTGAGCTTTTAGAAGAAGAAAAAGTACCAAGTGTTAGTACTTTGACGAAAAATAAATAAAAATGTTTTAGGTTGGCGCTGTGCAGTGGGTAAAAGATGGCTTTGGTCTAAACACTGATAGACTTATTGATGGAATATATCCAAGATATAAAATAGAAGGAAGCGTCAGTAAAGGCGAATATAATTTGCGAATTAATAATATTAGTATTGATGACGATGATATATTTGAATGCCAAATGCAAGCAGCTGTTAATAATCCAACAAGAATATCAAATAAAGCAAAATTAACTGTTTTAGGTATATTTTGTAGACTTTAAAAAACTTAATAATCTTTTCTCCTTAAATCAACAAGTATTTTTTTTTAAATGAAGGTTAGCAGCTTTATTTTACCCTTATATTTTTGTTTTTTGCTATATTAATCGAATATGCGGGTTTTATTGGAAATAATAGAGCAAATCGAGTAAGCCATATGCTTATATGTGTTGGAAATAATGAACGGAGGAATGTTGTATAAAGTAAAATCGATTAGTGCTAGTAAATGCAAAAAAAATACATGGATTGAAGTTGCAAAAATATGTTACAAAGGCTGAATATGCAGTTTATCTATGAAAATAATAAATTTGAAATATTTAAATGTATAATCTTTTGATTTATAGGGAAAAACACTAATCATAAAATTATACTCATTAAAAGAGTAGAGAGTTTTACGATTTAACTTCATTCATTAAGATTTCACCCACTTAATATTTGCTTTATCTTTTTTTCATTTGTTCCTTTAAGTTTTTCGTTACAATTTTCTCTCTTTAAGTTGAGCCACAACTTCCGACAATGTTTCTGGAAGACGATGTTTTAAATGTAATTGCCGGTCAATATATTCAGCGCTCGTGCGTTAGTAAAGATGGAAAACCACCATCAGTCATTGGATGGGCAATTACCGAAAATAATTCAACAAGTATCATCAGGTCGTGGCTTGGTGATTCACTTCAGAAGTTTGATATATCCCGTAAGTGTATCGGATTATTTTATAAATTTGAAACACAATCCATTTCCATGATTCGCCAAAAATTTGGTATGAAAAGTAGTTAAATTTGATATTTTTTTGCGGTATTCTCAAGATATTCTTCTTCTTCGAATGGCACTCATCACTTCTGGTTTAGTTGGCTGTATTGGCTATTAAAATGAGTCTCTTCCATCAGGAATCATTTTAGGACTAGAAGTACAAGTGGATCCTCAGTTCTGTCGATATTATTATTCAACACCAATATTATACCAATATTATTCAACATAAATCGAATATTTCATTTTAGAATTTAAATTATCGACAAAAGAATCGCAATATGCTCACATAATCGAAGATATTCGTCGAAATACTCAACAATTATATACAGTTATTAGCAATATTAGGTGAGCAAATTTGCACAAAAAAATAGTGAATTTTATTTATTACTTTATTAATTACTTTGCTAAATTGTTTACCATTTATCAGATGAAGAATTCACATGCTAGCCATATGTTAATTAAATTAAATACAATAGATACAGTAAAGCATGAATGAGAAATGGAGTACATTGTAATTTACAGTAATCGTTAAATATTCAAATTCATTATTTTCCATATGAAAGCAAATTCACTGGCATTTAAAATAAATTCTTTTTTTTATGGATGCTTTTTATAAGAGGTACAATGAGAGATTTAATTGGATATAAATATCCACAATCACTCTTATAAAGAATTAGAATATTTATATATAAATCCAACTTTAACGTTCGCCTATGAAGCAAATCTGAGGTTCATAATCCAGTCTAATCTAATCAAAGAAAAATGACAAAATATTTGTTTAGTTTTGTACCAAAAATCGATGACGACGGGAAATATTTGACATGTATAACATCGCATGCAACATATTCATCGCCAAAGTCAATCTCATTTGCGCTTGATATTAATTTTTCACCAGTAGTGCATATTGAAATCAATGAGAAATCGGAAATGAGAGAAAATGGTTCAGCGATTCTTCATTGCAATATCAAGGCTAAGCCTACTACGAATTTGCAGATTATTTGGTTTAGAAATGATGTTATCATAGAATCAGCCAAAACTGATGTAACCGATTTCACTATTATACAATTTTTTTTTACTTAATTTCTTTAGCATAATTCAAAGCGCGGTTCAGTCATGATATGGTTGCATTTTTTCTGCTTTTTTTCACTGGTCACGGAAAGGATGGTTGCTATTGATAATTATGCAACATAAGGAAAAAACAGGAAAAAAGAGAGAAAGGAAAAAAATTTGCTGTTTTTCCCAGTGAAAAAAAGGCGTTTATAAAATTATTAAAATTAAAATTTAAAATATTATTAAAATTAAAATATTAAAATATTTAATATTTAATATTAAATATTTATTTATAAATATTTATTTAATACTTAATATTTAAAATATTAAAATATTAAATTAAATTAATTTAAAATTAATTTTAATATAATTATATTAAATAATTTTGCATTCAATTTCATAAATTTCTAAAAAAAGATTTTGAATTATTCGCACTTTTTTTTTTCATTTTATGGCTGAATCAAAGGGAAAGAAATTCGTTTTGCAAAAGAAATCATATCTCTAACATTTGGCAAAAATCTCGCGAAGCTTTTCGATATTTTTTCGATTTATTCATTTATTTTTATCAATTATATTAATTGAATGTATAATTATTTATTATATATTATTGAAATTTTATTTATCCAGGTTATTTTATTGCCAAACTTAAATATTGACCACCATCAATCGAAATATACTTGCTTGGTTAGCAATATTATTGGCGAATCATCTGATTCTATTATTTTAAATGTAACTTGTAAGTTGTTTTCCTTTTGCATTATTAGTTAATGAATTAGCATTTTTCTGTTGGTGAAATTTAATGTTATAGAAGAAAAAGATTTTGAATAATAATTGTTTTGATAGCATAATAAATAAGCAATCCAAGTCCAAGAGCATCGAACATTTCTGGTGTAGCTGACTATTTGAATGGATCTCTTTATCTCTTGAAATTAGAAATATAGGTAGAACCAGAGCATTGCCGGATTTCTCGCAGTTATTATTATATTATTATTATATTTTCTCTTTCTCTTTCGGGCACGTATACCTCGTTTTTCTCTCGTCTCGTTTTCTTCTCGTCTTTCATATCGTTTTTCTTTTTAAGTTCTCATTTAAAATATTTAAAATTTCATTTTTAAAATTATGGAATATTTGCGAAAAAATTTATGAAGAAATTTTTTAATAATAAAAAGAATCAATTATGAAGTATTTAGTATAGTATTTATATAACATTTATAGATGGAGCTCGTATAATGTCAACTGAACAACATCAAGCTGTAAATCCTGGTGAATCAGCAATGTTTAATTGCGAAGCAATAGGAAATCCTCCACCTAAAATAATTTGGAAGAAAATTGGTGATGGTCAAGTCATTGCTCATGGAAGCAGGTGTTTATATTTTACTTCATATTTTCCTCTAATGCCCTTCCGCTCATTGCGATTATCTTTTTTCTTCTAATTTAGCGTTTCTGATTTGGCTTATTTCTTCGACTATTAGAACTAGATTTCTTTGATAGATCATTTGAGGATAGAAATGCAGGTTTTATTTTTATTTAATATGTATAGCTTTTATCTCAAATTTAATAAAATACTTTCATAAAAAATTCACATTTTAAAAATCGAAAAAAAACAATTATTTTTTTCTTTTATTTTTAATAAATGATAAATAATATAATTTGATAATATAAAAATAAAGTAATAATATAATGAAAATATGATAAATATAATTTAGTTTAACAATTGAATCAGTGCAAAGTTGGCATCGAGGTGAGTACGAATGCAAAGCAACAGTTTCCGGATTTCCATCGTCTCGACTCATTAATTTTTTACACATTAAAGGTCCACCATCAGTCAGCGTTCGAGAAGAAATTATTGCAGCTAATGGAGAGACTATTGAAATTATTTGTGAAGTAAAATTTTATTTTAATAAGATAGTAAGTAAACTTTTACAAACTTTTTATTATCAAAAAAAAGTGGTGGACGATTTAAAAAATTTTAAATATTCATTATCGTTCCGATTTCCTAATTTCCTCATAAATAAGTAAATAATTGGCAATTTCCTTTAAAGATTAAATAGCCAATTTCTTAATAAATATTTTCGTCAGGTATATATATATATATATATATATATATATTATCATTGGATGCTCATGTTTTTTCAAATAAAACAGAAGTTCCTTGAGACCAGCGTGTTGCTTTAGTTTTTAACTGAACATATCTATTTCCTCCTTTTAGGACATTTAGAAGCTCATTTCTATAAAACTTCCATCATTCCTATACTAATATATGTTCATAATCGTACATAATCTGATTATAATCCTTGAAATAGGATTGGCAGCAATGACTTAGGAATTCAGTTGTCCTTATAAGGGCAAATAAACCAGACTGAGATTGCTAAATTTTAGAAGATTTCGAATTGGTTTGCGTCTCACCAGCAAAATATTTTGGGTTCAAATTGATTGATTTGAAGTAAGATCCCACGCATTAAATAATCCTTTACCATCCTTCTTCTCTCTTATCGTTATTTCTATGGCTTATTAACCATGCATTTTAATTCCTCTGGTGAACAATTGCATTTTTAATGTTTATGGCTCAATTATCATATTCTCATACTTTTCTCTTTTTGTTTACTTTCATTTTTTTCTAAGTTATTTGCGTTAATAATAGTCTATTGATAAATTGATACATTCTTTTCATAATTTTCTTCTTCAGTAATTGCCAATAATTTATCAATTGGCAAAATCATTTAGGTCAGAGGTCGTCCACAACCACAGGATGTGATATGGTTATTAAATGGATCTCCAATTGAATATGGAAGACTGGGAAGTCGGCTACAAGTAGATATTTGCAATTATATAACGCTTTGAAAAAATGCGACTTAAATAATAATTACGTATGATATTATTATTTAAGATACATCAAGTACCTCGACAGTTCGGTGTCGAAAGTAAATTGATTGTCCAAGGTGTAAAGAATAGTGATTATGGAATATATAATTGTACGGCCTTCAACGAACTTGGAAGTGATTATCAAACGATCCGACTTAAATCGAAAAGTATCATTGATGCGTTAATTAGTAAGTTATATTAGCCCTTCTTATAATTGCCATTTTTTCAACATGATGAACTAAATAACTCGACCATCGTTTCCCTAAGCTATATTACTGAAGTTCTTTCACCTGCTTGTTTTTTCATCAAACTGCTGCAAATGGTCGATTGCCGTAAAGTGCAGTAAAATTTCCAAACATTATTCGAAATAGGAGCTAATTAATTATCGTTGCAAAATTTTCAGCCATTGAATTTCATTTTTTATTCAAATTTTCAACAAATTTTTTAGATATTTTCCCATCAAATTATTTAATTCCTTTAATTTTTCTACTATTCGCACTTATTCTAATCTCTATGGTTTATTTGTTTTGGCGATGTAAGAATCATAAGTGCAATCCTGGCTCTACATATCATGGTTCGCTTTAAATCATGCATTCTCATTCGTTCATATGTAAATACAATATAATATTTGAAATGATGCCAAAATGCCCGATGTCAGCAAAAATGAATTGCTTTTAATTATTTATTATATACTTGTAGTTATTGATGAAAATGTCGTACTCCATCAGTACCTCTATTTTTGCACTGTAGCCTTTTGAAGAAATTTTTTGATAAAATTTTCAGAAGATCCGACAATAAAAGTTGAACCAATTGACGGTGGTCCTTATCCATTTCCTTCGTTAAATCCGCCAGGAATTACTTTTTCAGATGTAATTATTTCAATATGAATTTCAATATTAATTCAATATGAATTTCAATTATTGCAATTCGGTTTTTAATTATATAATTATTAAAATTTTAATGCGAAAATTGAAAAAATTTCTTATCGAGACAATCATTTCTTAAATCATTTTTAACTGTTCATTTATATAAATATTTCAAAAATATTTATTAATTCATAATTCATTTATATAAATAATTTAGAATTATATATCAACGATGGGTACAAATCCTGATTTTGACTATATTGGAAATTCACCTAATTTTGATAGACTATATCCTCGTGTAAATAATGGTACAGCGCCACCAGCAAATGATTGTTTTGCATTTGATGATTCTATGAATAATCATCAGTCATACGGTAGTTTTAAATCAGGCGCCAGCACACCATCGAATTTCTATTCATACATCAATTCAAACAAATTTTTGGTAATTCTTTTTATCTTCATTTTTAAATTTTTAATTTAATTTAACTTAATTAAAAAATTCTTCAATTTTTTTTAGATGAATAAAAGCTCAAATATTTAGAAAAATTTATGAAAAAAGTTCCTTCAAGTCATTTTGAATTGATATATTTATATTTAAAAAAAAAGACCTTCCTTACCCCCGTGAGTGAGCAGAATGAGCTTGAGTGTTCTGCATAATATTTTAGCTGTTCCTAGCAGTGCATAGAGACCTCTGAGACTTTTTCCTAGAGTCTGTTAGTTAGAGGTAAGCTCGCCTTCCCTTTTACTTCCACTTTTGGCCTTTTTGGCCTTTTGTCTTTTTTTTTCATTTTCCACATCTCTAGCTTTTTCACCTCTTGATATTTTTTTCTTCCTTATTGCATGTATATTTTTCTTTTCATATAATTTTCATATTCTTTTTATCATCAGTGATTTCTGATTTGTTACCACGATATTTGGTTTTTAGTCAGTACTATCTGCCTATCTGAATTCTTGTAGAATCTTGGTTTCCACTTTCGCCTAAACGATTTTCTGAAAAATCTCCCATCTGAACTTGAGAGGATCTAAAACAGGTGCTAAACGTTTTTGATGGTACCAACTGCTTAGTTTTGCCTTTCATTGTATATTGTTCCTGCATCCATCTCTTATATTCTGCCATTATATCTTGGACAGTTTCTGAAGCATCACCTTGATTTCTGTCTAAAGTGGTAGATTTCCTGCTTCGATGGGCTTGATCCTTAGTACTTGCTTATGTGCTAACTAATTAACTAATTCCTCAGTGCTAGTTTTTAGTCCAGCTTTTTTCAACCACTGGTAAGATTCCTTAATGTTACCTCAGCTATCTAATGTTACCTCTATCAATGGTGCATCCAGTGGAAGATCCTGTTTTGATACTCTATGATTCTTCTTCTTCATCTTTTTGTCTGAAGATGCTTCAGACATTCTTTCAGCGGCTCATTCTTTGCTGCCATCTTTCTAATACATTCTTGGTGCTTTATCTAAAGTGGTGTAGTGTTTTAATATTCACCAGGCCCCATCTGCCTTGTTATTATTTCTTGCTGGTGTACAATATTTGATGCTTCATAAGGATTTTCTGGGTTTTCACATCTACAAACTCAGTGTTTTCCTATTGCCATCTTATTATGTTAGCTACATTATATATGATTGGCAGGAATACGTGTTTATGGCTCGGATTTTGTTTTTCTCACTGAATAGGCGCTTCAGAATCCGTCTTATTATTTTTGGTATTTGGATTTTGCTTTCTTCTTTGCCTGTTCACTGTAGTTTCCATATGATTTTGGGATACTAAGGTTCTTGTGGCTATATGTGCCACGCTGATAATTTCTTTTCATGAATAAACGAGTTAATGATTCGTTCACTTTTAGCATATAGCTTGATGCCATCTATATAGGGAAGGAACCTATATCCATATATACTTTTTTTAGTTATTTGAGTGAACTATATTTAGACCTATATAGAGCAGTAGAGTATAGTGCATCTCCTTGATATCGCACTTAATTACCACTTTTGCAAGTTATATTTAACTTGGCAGGTCATTGGCGATGAGTATGAGCTTATTAGAGTCTTGCATAGTATTTAGTTCTTCCATGTATTAACCAATCTGATGAGACTCTGCAACAAGCAGTTGATTGCTAGACATCTGCTAGACGTTCATGAACTGCTATTATGCTGTTTTTTTTAGCCAGTAGGTGTGGATCATTTACCGGTTTAGGGACCGCTAGCTTCATTGTTTTCAAATCGATTTTGCTAATTGATTTCTCATTATTTTGGCTTATTTTCACGTCTTGCAGCCACTTTGCATTGGTATTAAGAATCTTCTTTTTATCCCATATATTCTTTCAATTCCTGCTATTGGTGACTATGTTGTTACTATATTACTTATGAATACTTTGAATGGTTCCTTGGAGAACATAGCATTTATCTTTTTGCCCTACTTCTCTAATATATCTCCTTATATCCTGATGGTCAATGCTGTGAACTTTTGTTTAGCAGTCTCTAAGGCTTCTGTCTACTGTAGTTTATTACAGTAATATTCCGTAAATTCCAAATTATCTTGTTTTATCCATGTAAGGTTTCTTCCAATAGCTCTTTTAACGCCAGACTATTCCCGTCCCGTAGCATGTAACGCATTTCTAATAGTGCACTTACCACTGGTTAGTCCTGTTTCCTCAATATCTAACGCAGATCTTACTCTTAATCTGAGTGACGCTGGGCTAGTATGACTCTAGTATGACCCTATGCGATATTCTCATATGTGGTGAAATATTTTAGATATTTGATATTTGAGATAGCGCAAAATAAACAAGGAGGCCTTCGCCCAATGATCTTCACAGCAAGTGCAGATGATAACTGCAATTCGAACTGTTTTGTTGCATACCATATTAGTCGGGCAGCTTAAACACTACATTATTCCATGCTCAATTAAAGTAATTCGATCCGAAGTGAAACGACATATATATTAATTTATTCATTTGTCTCATTATCTTATTATTGTTAACTTAATTTTTTCTTCAATACATTTAGAATATTTTTCATATTTTAAATACAATATTTTTTCCATTTTTTAGTCCAGCAATTCTCACTTGGAGCCTTTGAAAGAAGTGAGTACTCCAGAAATTAACTGCACTAATGTATCTATAAAAAATACAGTTGCAATCAGCGATCGCCCAGATAGCCGTTTATCAACTCATGTTTGATCATCATATATATATATATGTAAATTGAATAAATAAATATAAGAAAAGTTTTATAGAACTGTAAAGTCAAATGGCATATTTATTTTCATATTACGGAACCTACTGTATTATCTATAAAAATATGAAAAAACTATGTACTTTTGCATTTTATGCATTTAAACCTATTTTTGAACTTTCACTTCGGAGAAATAATTTCCCAGCTTTTCGGAAAAAGGCTAAGTTTAAATGAAATTCCAGAAAAATGAAAGTTTGGAAATTTTTACGATTTCACAATTTTTATGATTTTTACGATTTTATTTTATTAATTTTTCATTTGCATCGCCTCCATCCTTAGTATTTATCTAACAAGTATTTAAATTACAATGTGGTGAAATATTTTAGATATTTGATATTTGTTAATTTAATTTAGCATGATCATTCATTTACTATTTTCTTAACGAGCGTTTCTCTTTGAGAACGACTTGGATGGCAATAATATATATAATATAATGCATATGATTTTGCATTGTTTTAAAGAATATATGGTAACTTTTCCAGTTTTACAATGCTGTTTTATATGATATTTTTTAATCATTTTTTAGAAATTTACAATAATTACATTAACTTAAGGAACTTAAGGAACTGAAATCGCTTTTTTAAATTCTTTTAAATTTTTTGAATTTATATTTGAATTTGAATTTATCCTTTTTTTGGCTTTTTACTTTTAAAAATAGTTTATAAAATAGCGTATCAAAAATATGAAATTTTAATGTACTACCGCTTAATTAAATTTTTATTGTTGTAAATTTTTTAAAATAATAGTTTTATAAAGTTTAACTTTGTTGAAAAATCTTTTTTCAATATTTTAGAATTTCATTGAGAGGAAAAAGAAGGTTTAATAGAGAAGGTAAAGAAGGTTTTTTAATATTTATTTATTCTTTTACAATTCTTATCACTTAAAAATATTTTAAAATTTGCTCTTTCTTTTTTTTTTATTATTGCTCATTTTATCGTCTTTATATGCAATAATTTAATCACTTTTTTTCAAATTATTGAATTTACGAAAAAAAACTATCGATTAGAAATAAAGCTTAAAGATAGGAATTCTCTTTATTTTCTTGGATTTATTCCTGAATATTCCAGTAGTTTATCAATAATTCTACTATAATATGATCCTTTTTCATAACAAAGAATGATAAATCGAATTATCATATGTGACGAATCACTATTTTTATTAAAACATCAAAATGTTGGATAATAGTAATTGTTTGAAAATATTTATGCGCAAAGATTCAAATAAAAATGGCTCGATATCGACTTCAATTTTATACTTTTCTGATCAACCTATTTTGATTTTTAACCTTTTATTTTATTTTTCAGGTTTAGCTAGTCATCTTTGCTTTTTTTAAACTTACCCTCGTTATTGTCCTCGTTCATGTGGTGCAATAATTAACGCATCTAATGGCTCTTTCTTATTGATAAAATTCATTGCCTAATGATTATATAAAGCTTTTATTTTAATTTAATTTAATTTTTTTCTATAAAGCTTTTATTTTAATTTAATTTTATTTTTTTCAAAATTAAATTTTCTCAAAAATTGACCATTTAAAATGGATATAGTTTCATATAGACAGTATTTAAAATAATTCAAATAAATTCGAAATAACTTTAAATTCTGAAAAAAAAATTCAAATAGAAGGGGGGGGGGGGCGAAATGCATTAATTAAGAATATCAATTAATGTAAATAATGGTGAAATATATCAATTATGTGGAGGCTTTAGAACCTTCTGTCTGCTTTTTCTACGTTTATAACCTTTATTGCCTTTCGAAATACTTAGTTTGCGAACTTTTTCATTTGCTGGATTTGTTTCTAAATATTGAGAGGCATTGTGGAGAAAAAGCAACAATCAATAATTCAGAAAAAAGGAATTTAAATAAAAAATTCATTAATTTGGATTTTTCGACTTAGTTCTACAAATAATTTCCATTAGATTTCAATATAATTTAATTCGGACTGAGATAGTTGACAATCCAGTTTGGCGTAACCATGTAGAATTTTATATGGAAATTTCAATTCCTTCTTAATTCTTTTCAGTTTTGATTTAAGCTTTTCAAAATCTAAAAGAGAATATATTTTCCTTATATTAATGCTAGGACAATATTTCTGCAAAATATTCCTGTAGACATTAATGAATTTATTAGATTTATGGTATTTTGATGAATAAAAGACTATTTTTATGAATAAAATTTAAATCGTAAAAAAGCAGGAACGAATGCGCTATATACCTCAAAGAAAAATATCTTTTCAAATTCTCAGCGATCGAGGATCAATGATCAACGTTTAGTTTTATTAATTCAGAGGACTTCTT